AGCTGTCTAGTCTACAGAAGCCTTTTAAATCCACAAACTCCATCAGTATTTAGACAAGGCCATAAGCAAAGCGGAAGTTCTCTCCTCCCTTCAGAGCGAAGTACCTCCTTTTCTGATGACCACTTCTTTCCACTGGGATTTCACCCACTGAGGTCCTTAATGTAGGATATTTTTTGCCACAGTACCTTGGCTTTCCATGCTTGAAATGCTCTCATGGGCTTTTCGGTCAGACCAGAATACCATAAGGGCTGATTCTGAGGTCAGAGTGCTATTTAAAGCAATTGTCATTCTGAGTCTTCTGTGTGGACTACTTCCCATGTTGGAGCATTCACTCCTTTTTAATTCTGTCTATTATTATTTCCAGACCCTTAGTCTTATCTATATGATCACTTTACCACTTAATCCTATCCATATGATCACTTTAACACTTGTATTTTTATTACCCAGCTTAAGGGGTTTGGGAATCCCATTGTAAGTTTTTAAACAGTACCCTTAGAAGTAAGTCTGTAGGAATGTATGCAGAACTGTACAGCTTTACACTTCATAATTACAACTTCAGGAACATGGTGATTCTTCCCACCATGCCCGCCTTCCCACGAATATTCCCACCCCTTTCCTCCTCCCTCTTTTTTGCTAAGATCTATTTTCAACTGAGTTTATACACATTTGATTAACTCTATGTTAAATAAAGAATTCAACAAATAGTATGAAAAAAAAATAAAACAACTGCTCCTCAACAGTCAAGACAAGGGCAGTTTAAGTCATTGCTTCCCAAAGTGTCAATTTCACTTGTACAGATTGCCTTTTTGGTGCTCTGTTATCACAGATCAGGGAGAACAGATGGTATTTGTCCTTTTGGGAATGGTTTATTTCACAAAGTATCATATTTTCCAGATCTGGATTTTAACATCATGTAATTATTTAACTGGAATATCTAGCATAGTTCTTCAAAACTTGGAATATATATGTATTATACATACTTATGGCTTCAAATATTTATATAATTTTCCTCCATAATTTTTTTAATATTTATTATTTGAATGTCAGTATTACACAGAGAGAAGGAGAGGCAGAGAGAGAGAGAGAGAGAGAAGTCTTCCAGCCACTGGTTCACTCCCCAATTGGCTGCAATGGCCAGAGCTGTACTGATCTGAAGCCAGGAGCCAGGAGTTTCTTCTGGGTCTCCCACACAGATTCAGAGTCCCAAGGACTTGGAACATCTTCTACTGCTTTCCCAGGCCATAGCAGAGAACTGGATCAGAAATGGAGCAGCCAAGACTCGAACTGGCGCCCATATGGGATGCCGGCATTGCAGGCGGTGGCTTTACCCACTATGCCACAGAGCCGGCCCCTGTAATATATTTTTAAACAACTATTTTATGTATTATTTTACGAGCATTTACTAAACACTTATCCAAGAAAAACTGATGTATCTTCAAAGAAAAAGCAGGCAACTTCATAAAGTTGGGGCCAGCCTTCTGGTGCAGCTTGGTTAAGCTGTGGCATTCGATATCTGCACTAGTTTGAATCCCAGCTACTTCATTTCCGTACCAACATCCTCTTGCTAATGGGCCTGGAAAGACAGTGGAAGATGGCCCAAGTGTTTGCATCCCTGCATCCAATGGGAGACCCAGAAGAAGCTCCTGGATCCTGGCTTAAAACCTGGCCCAACCTCTGTTGTTCAGGTCATTTGGGAAGTGACCTTCAGATGGAAAATCTCTCTGTCTTTCCTTCCCCTCCCCACCCCCTCTCTGTAATTCTGCCTTTCAAATAAATAAATAAATCTTAATAAAATGATTAATAAAATTGAAGTAGACAGGCAAAGATCATAAAAATGAAGGGATAAATCAGATGCCTAAGACAACATGCAAGAGATTTTCACTAAGTAAGAACTTTGTTGATGAGCTTCCTTTGTTTAAGAAAAGTTGAATTTTATGAGTTTGAATTCAGAAGTAATAATGAGCTTTAATTGCTAAATGTATGTTTGGAGATTTTTGCTGTTATAATTCATGTCATCATACTCATCATTAAGGTAATAATACATTAATTAACTTATCCTTCTTTCAATGTACTTAGGGGTACATTTCAGTTATAAACCGGAAATCATGTGCATTCACCATGGTTGTTCTGGTAAGGGTTAAATGTTTTATGGCTATTTAAACATTGTGTCTGGGTGTTAAAAGTCTATAGAGTGAAATTTTTTAAAAAAATCATTTGTATGATAACTCCGTGTAACAAGCACTAGATTTAACTATCTATACCCCATTTTCCAGAGCTCAATATAAAGAGTGATACAGCAGTTAATGATATATGGGTGCTTGGAACATACTCCAAAACTAACCTACATTTTATATCAATCATTTTGACAGCTATTCCCTTCACTATCAATCAATTTTTACCAAAAATATTATTTCAATTTACAATATTTTACATAAGAAGAGAAATTATGTATAGAACTTTCTTTTCAGTAACAGTTATCATCATCCCTAGCAGCAGGTGATGTATTTTTGTAGGTTAGTAATTTGGATATCTATATCCAAAACATCTACTATATAAAGCTAAACAGGAAAATAGAGTAAATAAGCAACTACATTAAAGAGGAAATTTAGAAAATGACTTCAGTACTTGAGGCAACTCATAACTTACTCTTGCCCCTTCCAGAGCGAGTTTCCTACGGCTGTGATTTTACTTCATAACTCACTTCAGCAACATGATCAATGACCAGAATAAATATGAAAGTTGGGACATTCTGTTTCTCTCTTTGGAAATTTGGAATTGAGATTGAAACATCACTTTCTGTTTATGGCTGAGATATAAATAGAAATGACGCAGCCTTTGCTTATATGGTCAATCTGCAGAAAGGAAAAGTGAAATATGTACACAGAATATTGTAGAAAAGACTGAGTGATGCTGTCCAATGCCTAGATTTTAGGTTTGCTGCATCTCGCCTGGATTCTTTTTTATTGGAGTCTCAGACATACCCACACTCAGTCTGCAATGCCTTTAGTTTTATATTAGCTCAAAATAGTTTCTGTTACAGCAAGTTTTTCTCCACTCCTAAACATGCCTTTTGAGGGCCAGCACGGTGGTACAGCGGGTTAAGTCACTGTCTGCAACACGGTCGTCCCATAGGAGAGCTGGTTCGAGTCCCAGCTAGTCCACCTCTAATCCAGCTCCCTGCTAATGTTTGCAGAAAATCAGAGGAAGATGGCTCAAGAGTTTGGGACCCTGACACCCATGTTGGAGACCTGATGGAGTTTCAGGTGCCTGGCTTTGGCCTAGTCCAGCTCTGGCCACTGAGGTCATTTGGGGAGTGATGCAGTAGATGCAAGTCCTCTCCATCCCTGTAGCGCTGCCTTTCAAATAAATAAATAAATAAATAATATTTTCCAAAAATATATGTTTGTATTTGAGTATATGCATTTGGAATCCACTGATAAATTGACATTAGCTATAATTACTTTTTCACAGTGTTGGCTCTAGATATGCATATCTGCCATGTGCTTGTGTGACAGTTGATGTCCCTAATTAAACATCCTTTGTATATTTTAACTTTGAATAAAGATCAACATAATGGGATGTAATAGGAGGCTTTATCATATTAGAAACCTAGTCTATATCATTATTATCATTAAGAATATAATAATTCAATAAATGTTTATTAACCTAAATAATATGATTATAGGGTTATATCAATTTTATAATAACATTTTTCATTAATTAAAAATACTTAAAAAGCAGTTAATGATTCTAAAATTCTGTTAAATGATTATGCTAAATTCAATAGTTTCCTTTTGATTATCTCAAAGAATATTTACTAGAAAAAACACATATTCTTTTTTTCATCCTGAGTTAATTGCTCAGACACTAATATCAAGAGTTGTATTCTCTCTGGATAGTGTCAACAATTTGATCTGTGATCAAAACATGCCACATATTTCAATTTCTATATCATATAAGGACAATGCTGCATAAATATTTGCTCATATTCAGATTTTATATCAATTAATAAAACATTTTATGGCTGTATGAAGGCAAAGGTTTCTAAAAACGTTGACAGCTGATATGGACTGAGACATAGTTTTACACCTTTATATTATCTGGAGAGGAGTCAAGCAAACCAGAATTGGAACACTATCAAATCAAGGTTCATGCTGTGGCTGAACTGTGGATAAATGGAAACTATTTTTAGCAACAAAAATATGGCGCCTTAGATGAGCCCTTTCTTTAGAAATGGATGTTCTTCAGGTTCACACTGACTTTCACTCAGAATAGCACGATTTTTAAAACCTTGCAACACAGGTAATGGGGTAATGTGTACATTGGCTATTGCCTTTCAGAATCAGTAAACACTTTGGCTCCCCTAAAACCTCTGCAAAAGAAAACTTGGTGATTCTCTACATAAAATCTAAATAGGAAAAACAGAGAAGAAGAAAGCATCTACACATGACTAGGTATGCTAAAGATTCTAATATAACAATCCAGCTATGTGTTGCATAATAGGTATGGTTAAATTATTTTACAAAAATTCCTCACATCAATGTTAAAATGCTTAAAAATATTTTAAAATTATATATTATAATTTCCTTATTGACTAACTGTATTATTTATATATTTGCTGTCTCAGAGTCTATTTTATAGCTTATTTCATCCTTAATTTTCCTCATTACCTTCTACACATTTCTATATGGAATATTCCTTTATTCCCTCACTTACTCTTATTCCTCTTATACAATCTGTGCTACATCTATCTCTGCATTTTCTGTCATTTGTATTCTTATGTTCAGCTAGGAATTCTTCTTGAAGCATATTTTTCTTTTCCTTATTTATTTTATTTTATTTCCAATCCTTTGTTGCATATTATTGTTTTCTCCTGTGTTTATGAATGCAGATAAAATTGTGACTTTTTTCTCCTTATGTTATAAAGGTTGCAAGCACAGGAACCAAAGAATTCTGACTTAGTTTTACACTAAATGGAAATATCTCATTAAAGTACCCACTTGAAATCCGAATGTATTGTTCTGTGATCCATGCCGAGGCACACCAGGATTTTCACAGGAGGTGCGGGTAGGTTCTAAAGAGGAGATTAAAAACATAACATCCCTTTAATTTTATCATAGCTCAATGCCTGTCAAAAATTTTTAAATCATCTGATATTTTTTGAAAGTACCCTTGGTAATAAGAAAGAATATAAATCTAATAGCATCTCTCCATGGGCAGAAGCCTATTATTCTTGAAGCAAGAATTCAGTAGATTATATTTGATATGAGTTACACAAGTCTTGAAATTTGAAACCTTTTACATAACATCTAATTAACCCTAGGTACACAAAGTTAAAGAAAAATAAAATGTATGAAAGAAATTCATAAGCGAAGACATTTGGCCAAGGATCTTGCTAAATTGTGATTTAATACAAGATAATATTCCCCTCAAAAACTCAGACTTTTCATGAGAAACAAGATTTAGTGATTTAGATTTCACTAACACTTGCAGGAAATCCAGATATAAGAATGGTAGGACTGATAGTCTGTTTATTTGTTGGTTATAGAGTTGGTTTATTTGTATGACAGTCTATTTGATCATTTATTAAATGAGGCATTTGATGCTAGGAATGTCCTTATAAACATTTTTAAACCAATGCATGTTTTCATGTATCCTTGAAGCCAGTTTCTATGTACATGAATATCTTATGTTAATTATTAAGATAGAAATAAATGACAGTTCTTAATAATGCCACCAATGCAAAGGCCTTTTTCTTTTCATTTTACTAATATGCAAAAAAATATTCTGAAGTGTTTCTTCTGGAAGTTAAAATGCTAAAAATAATGTCATATATTCTACCAATACTCATTTTCCAAACCTTCTAATTGCTTTTTTTTCTTTGATTTCTTAATTAGCCAAGTAAGGTTGATGGTATAAAGAAACACCACTGAATGTCACTACTTTCTATTAATTCCAAACATACTGGGCATCATCAACCTTTCATTAACATTACCAATGCAGTGAGGTGATGAGCCACTCCAAGTGCCATCTGCTTGGCATATTCTGGTGCTTGATCCCACTAATATAAAGGGAGAATTGCAGTTGAATGAAACCTCTGACTGGTATATAAAGCTTTTGCCTTCTCGTTTTCCTTGGGCGGGTATACCTGGGTCACCACAAAACTTGGCTGAAAGTGAAAAGAAAGAAACAGCAAAGATTTAGGATTTAGCATTGTAAATAATTTAGAAAAACTGTGACAATGAATTCATATATTACACCAAAGTAACATATAACCCATGATAATCTATATCTTTAAATTTTATTGTTTTAGTTTGTAACTACAACATCTATTGAATAAAAAATCTGTAAATTGTTGAAAAATTAGCATGATACAGGTATTTTCCACTTTGCAGGCTACCTTCACAAATACATTTTAAAATATTTTGTTGCTTTATATCATTGAGAATCACACTATATAATATGTATTTATAATCTAGAAAGCTGAAATATACCCCTGACAAGGCATATGATTCACAGTGACTCCTTCAAGAAGAATCAACCCAGAGTGTTGCAAGTTGGACTCCTTAGATTACATTACCCTTTACACAAATCACAACAGAAGATTGTTTCCCTGTACTCTGAATACTCAGAGCATACATCCCAGTATCTCATTGCATTTCTCCTCACGATGTTGCCGAATGTATTATCAAAAGAAAAGACAGCCACCTGAGTCTAATTCTGTACAAAGCTAGGGCATCTCCATGTTTACAACAACCACTGAAGAGATCAGCTTGACAGGATTTCTAAATAAATTGTTTAAAAAATCCCATTCAATATATATTTATTAACTACTAGACACTATATTCTACATGGGTTTAGGCACTTGGACATATCAGTAAATAAGTGGAGTAGTATTCCTGCCTCTGTGGGATTTATAAGTTTGTAAGGAAAGCAAATAAGCAATTAACATAATAAATGAGCAAGAAAGATAGTATGTGGGGATGCAGTATACCCTGTGGACAAAATAGTTCATGGGAAGGAGATTAAGATCAATGCACTGAATGTGTGTGTGTGTGTGTGTGTGTGTGTGTAGCAAAGGTGTCTCCCATGGGGAAAATATTTGGAGGAAACAAAATGTTTAGCCAGGTTGATATACCAAAGGAGAGCATTCAGGATAGAGGGAATAGAAGGAGTAATAAGGAGGCAAGTGTGACTGAGGCATGGAATGAGATCAAATGGTTTCAAATCTAGCATACAACCTAAGCAAGTACACGTATAGCTAATGCTCTCAAGTTTTTTTATTATGGTAATATCAATATATATTCACCATTTCAAACATTTAAAATGCACTCAATTTTAAAATATGCTGATTCCGAACCTAAAAGCTTATTTCCCTCTAAAGCAAATAAACAGCAACGGCTGAATACTCTTAAGTGTAAGTGTCGTAAGATGGCTAAAGGTTGGGCAACTATAAAGTGAATCACCCATGGGGCTGGTTCTGTGCTGTAGTGGGTTAAGCAGCTGCCGGCTGCACCAGCATCCCATATGGGCACTGGTTCAAGTCCCACTGCTCCTCTTCCTACCCAAATCTCTGCTATGGCCTGGGAAGGCAGTGGAAGATGGCCCAAGTGCTTGGGTCCCTTTAACAAAGTAGGAGACCCAGAAGAAGCTCCTGGCTCCTGGTTCCTGGCTCCTGGCTTCTGATCAGTGCAGCTCCAGCCATTGTGGTCAATTGGAGAGTGAACCAGGGGATGGAAGGAAGACTCTCTCTGCCTCTCCTTCTCTCTCTGTGTAACTCTGCCTTTCAAATAAATAAATAAATAAATCCTTTTTTAAAAGATTTATTTATTTATTTGAAAGGCAGAGAAGAGAGGGATGGAGGGAGGGAGGGAGGGAAGGAGGCAGGGATGGGGAGAGAGAGGGAGAGAGAGAAACAGGTCTTCCATTCACTGGCCCACTCCCCAGATGACTTCAATGGCCGGAGCTTCACTGATCCGAAGCCAGGAGCCAGGAGCTTCTTCCAAGTCTCCCACGTGGGTGCAGGGGCCCAAGGACTTGAGCCATCTTCTACTGCTTTCCCAGGCCATAGCAGAGAGCTGGATCAGAAGCAGAGCAGCCAGGACAAGAACTGGCACCCATAAGGGATACTGGCACTGCAGCAGGTTGCTTTACTTTCTATGCCACAGCGCTGGCCCTGAAATAAAAAAAAATCTTAAAAAAAAAAAAGAATAAATCAAGAATGAACACACCAACTAGAATGTATGCTTACCCTAATTAACAGACTACCTTAGTCTCAGGCTCAGTGTGCAAAGTCCTTCCCAGAAATTCAAGACTCTAAGATAATCTTGAATTCCCAGACCTCTTTATAGTAATATATTTCTTTTTAAAATACAGTTAAAATAGTAAAACAAAATGGGTGGGGGGAATAAACATAGGTTTCTTATCTTTTAATTTTCACCACCTATCAGATATTGCAAACTTGGTTCAAACTTGGTTCTAACTTAGTATACAGAATTTCTCGCTGTATAACAAACCCTAGAGGCCAGGAGCTTGTCTTACTGTTATTTGTAAATTTACCACATTTTGAATTCAATAAATTCCTCAGTGGACATCTTCAAAGGATATTTCAGCTTGGAAAATTGTTTCTTTCACTGCTGTTTCACAGACTACAGCTGAAGTGTTTCTCTTCTGTATTTGTGCTAAGCCATTTACCTCAGAATCTTCTCTTTACTCAACATAGAAAGGAAAGGACAGAGATGCACCCAAATAAACTCCTTAGTCACTCTTGCTCCCAGCTCCTCTCATTCCTCTGTGTGTTGTTCATCTGTTTTCTATCTGTGGATTTTCATGTAGTAAATTGAATGACCTACTGATGTCAGAGTTAGAGACTTCTTTTTAAGCGACTTCTGTTTCAAAATGATAAACTTCAATATGAAAGCACATATCTTAAACAAAATTAAAGAGAAAAGAATTTCTCCCTAATAAAGTTTCTAAAATTAATAAATATGGCTATCTGATAAATAAGAGCATTTTTCTCTTGCCCACCTTTTCTGAACTTGAATATATACTTTGCTTTAATAGAACTGTGTTTAAGTGACACACACACACCCATATGCAATATATATCTATAAGTATGTATGAATTAAATTGTTGATTTTAATATTAAAACAGTTCTGATATTAATATTGTTTTATATTTCTTCTGTACCTATGCAAAATTTACTTAGGGCATATACCTGGGTATTAGATTTCTAAGCAATAAACTATGCATATATTTAAATTTAGTAAATAATAGCAACTAGATTTTGAAAATAATTGTGTCAATTCATAACTTATGGAAGTTTATATTTCTCCAATCCTTACTAGACGTTGATGTTATCTAACATTGTTTTTCACCCTAATATTTAGAAAATAGTTATGTCTTTTGCCCATTGTTACTGTTTTGTTTTGGGGTACTTAGGAACACTTTTTTTCATTCTGGATATCATTGTTATTTTTCACAGAGTAACTATATACATTGTCCACATCTTTGACAGCTTTTTGGATAATGAGAAATTTGAAATTTTAACATTGCCAGTAATTTTTATTTTTTCAAGTTATGGGTTTGTATCTTTTGTATCTTGCTGAAGAAATTCTTTATTTCCCTGAAGCTACTTAGATGCACATTTACTATCTATGACTTTATTTTTAAGTCTTTGATAAATGTAAATCCAGCATTTATTTGCATTTAGTATGAGATAGAGATTGTGTATAAGTGTGGTGTGTTAACAAACTGCCTTGTAGCATTAATTGAAATGTCTATTCTTCCCTCTGATGACTTGTTTTATCATATGTCAAATATTTCTAGATAATCCTGTACTCTCTACAACACTGATTTACTTTCTATTCCTTCTATACCTGCACCAATCTCATACTGCCTTAACAACTACAGTGAGAGAAGTAAATATCTGCTAATGTCTGCTTCTACCAGGGACAGAGGCGCAAACCAAAAAAACTAACTTTCAAGGAGTATATGTTTAAGTAGAGTCCAACTAAACAAGATAAGTAAAATGTATATCATGCTGTAAAGAGAAAACATAATGGATGAAAGCAGACTATCAAGGAGAATAAATAAGGCTTGAAAGGGTAGTCTTACTTGTCAAAACAGGACATTTTAACTAAGGTGATCAGGGAAGACAAACTCAGAGAAGGGCTTTATGTGAAATGTTGAAGGAGTGAAAGAACATTTCCAGACAATGGACAGTGCATATAACTGATATGACGTGAAAGGACAGCTGAGTAAGGAGGTCTGAGTGCCTACAGAGCAGTGGATGAAGAGAGAAGCAGCAGAACATGATACCATCAGAGAACTAGAAACGCATCCCATAGCCTGAATGAGCTGAGGAGATCCTGGAGGGTTCTGAGCAGCTCAGGCGGCCCCGCCTCACTTCAAGACCAGGGAACAGGTGGAATGCTCCTTATCGCATGTCGGGAAGAAGAGGGGGACCAGCACAGGATAGCGCTGGACACTTCTCTACATAACTACTGTCCACAAAATGCACTACAATTATCTGTGTATAACAGAAATGTGAGTCACTTGCTGCATCCTACATACAGTAGGCTCTGTGGCAAAAATAATAATCGCTCATCTGTATGCTTACAACTGTAATTTTAGATACACAATCACAAAAATTATAATGACAAATGGCACTGTAAAAACTTGAATGAATATGTAGAAGTGACACGGATTTATCCTAGTAAGAAATTTTTGGGATAATTACAGAATATTTTGCTCAGACCAGCTGGATATAAATAAATTTCCATAAGCAAATTAGTCTAAGAGAATCTCTATTTTGAGAAATAATCATGAAAAATAAAAAAAAAATGTAAACAAGGCAGTTTAGCCTAAAATTTGGATTCAGAGCAGAACTACCATGCCTGAAATGTATATGAAATGTAGCTATAATGTAAATACTGAGTTTTTCCTGACTCTTAACTAGGCATGGACGAGAGTTTAGCAATCTGATTTTAGGTCTAGCAAAGTCTGAAAATTTTAAATAGGATTTGTTAATTAAAATATCATTTTTAATGTATGGAAATTATACTTACGTAAGCATTGTGGTACTTCACCGCTCCAGGTACCATTCCCTACACAGGTCAAAACAGCAGGAAAGGACAGTTCATAGCCTGGAGAACAGATGTAGCTAATACTAAAGCCCCAGTCAAAATTTGTTCCTTCGAGCCTTCCATTAGAGATCTGTGGAGGAGTTGGGCAGGTAACAGCTGCAATTACATTAAAAGAGATTAGACACAGCTGTTTGAATGTCCTGAGTATAAAAAATAATAAATATCATTAGAAGAAGCATATGTGCTAATTTAACCTTTGGAGGACAATACAGTTTGACATGTTTTATTCTCCTGGTAGAATTCCTGAAACATCCCTGGAATTAATCCCTCTACAATGTGACTTTTTCTTAACAAATATCCTTTTACAATACAGCAAGCTTTCTGGCATCTACAGGGAGGCAAATAGAGGGTAACCTTCTCTGGTACACTATAGCCAATTAATTATTGGATTTTTATAAAATTATTTCCAGTGATCTTTAGACTGACTGTAGGCATAGGCTGTTGGGCTACATATCCTCTCAGCATTGTTAGCAAATAATTTCAAAGTAGTTCTGTGACATTTTTGAAAACATAGATCATGTGTCTGATTAAAATATCCAAATTGGTTCCCAGAACCACTTAGATTCATATCCTAAAGCTAATTATATCTTTATCAATGAGTTTTTACCTTTTAAAACTTCATTTTGCTTTGTTTGAAGTTGTCCTCAAATAAAGACAGGTTAGATAATATGACAGAGATGAAATTAAAATCAGGAATACCAACTGTAAAATCTAAAATGAGGAATGAGGGGACAGTGTTGTGGCCCAGCAAGTTAACCTGCTGCTTACAACACTGGTGTCCTGTATCATAGGGCCAGTTCAAGCTCCAGCTGCTCCTCTTTCAATCCAGCACCCTGTTAAGGCACTTTGGAAGGCAGCAAAAGATGGCCCACGTACTTGGGTCCCTGCCACTTTTGTGGATGGAGTTCCTGGCTCCTGGCTTTGGCCTGGCCTTGCCCTGGTTTGTCATGGCAATTTGCGGAGTCAACCAACAGATGATAAACCACTTTTTTGTGTCTCCCTCTCTCTTTCTGTTGTTCTACCTTTCAAATAAGTAAATAAATAAACAAGCCTTTTAAAAAATGAAATAAAATAAGAAATTATTGTAATATGTTTTCTAGCAACATTTAGACTAAAGGACTCAGTTAAAATCATCATTGAAATCATGTATAACAGAAACCCTAAAATATAAAAGTTCTGGTCATATATTTTCAAACATATACACTATCTGCATATTTACAGCCATGTGAATTAGAAATTGTGTAAATAAGGAGAAAAAGACAAAAACATCAGAATTATTTTTGTTAGATTTTACGTTAGGGAGATACTAAACTACAGACATTTTAAAATGGCTTAAACAGCATTCTAAATTTAAAATAAAAATTACTATGAAACAATATGTTTCCTGGCATTCCAATTTGAGTATTCTATAAGTAATCATAAAAATTGGAAACAAAAATATGAAAATATTCCAGTGAAACAATAGCATAAAGTAACAAATCTTTGCCTTCATTGATTAAGAGATTAATTCTAGATTGCATTATTTGAAAAAATAAGCAGTCCAATTCCTTAGAAAAATCAATAGTTCTATCATTCAGTCTGGCTGTTTTCAAAACATTCATCTTTCAGTATAAATAATAATGATGATTGAATATTAGAATACATAATATTTTTCTTTTGGTTGTAAATCTCACTGTCATCATATTAATATATAATTTTTGGCAAAATATAAATTTTAAGACCTATATAAAACAGAGGTTTTAAAAAATTGAATCAGCTAATTCAGTACCAGAATAACAAATGAAAGTAAGAATTACAAAATACTATTTAAATTATGTGGTAGACATTACTTTAAACTGTTGAAGAAATCAACATCATACCTCTACAAGTTGGCATCACTCCACTCCAGGTGCCATTAGTAGTACAAGTTCTGATTCTGGAGCCATTTAATTCCATTGTATAGCCTGGCTGGCACATGTAAGAAACATTTTGTCCAACCACATAATCATCTCCATATCTCAGTCCATTGGCAGGTATACCTGGGTCTCCACAACTGATTACTATCAGTATTGGATTGGAAGAACAGATGGTTAATGTGGCATGGATTTAATAGAGAGGAGTAGTAAGCACATGGCATACTTAATATTAAGTAGAGAAAATCGGTTTTTATGTTCATTTTTAATCATAAAACATAAACTTATTTGAACAATATACTGGCAATTCCTGATTTTCATCAGATATGCTTATTACAGATTCTATACATGTAGTTCATAAAATGTTATTTAGACCATGAAAAGCTAGGTTAATATGAAATTATGTTGTAGGAGACTCTGTTGCAGTAACTTCTTACAATCCGTATTGTATGACCACTGAGAAACCATTAGATTTCTAATGTAATATTTAAAGTTTCTATTCCTACAAATGCACTTAAATCTCTCATTTGTCAGACTTGCTGAGCTAAGAGCATATCGTCTCTACAGCATCATCAACTGTGTATTAAAACAGAATTTTTTCTATCTCCTGAAAGAATATTTTTATTGAATAAGTGAAAGAATGAATAGAGTATAAAATGTGAATTTATCACACAGTGCACAATAGATTATTTTTATTCCTAGGGCAAAGTGAAAATGTCACACAGTCGGTGGTAAAGAAATCAATTTCCCATTTGTACACTTACCAACCGAGGCAGAAGGGTAAATGTTAAGGAACTGAACCTCCACTCTAAGTGTATTTGCTACCTGTATTGGTGTTGAGTGAGAAATCTCTCAAATCCTAATCCTTGCCCAGTATGCCATGTGTTCCCAATTTCGAAAAGGCACACTTAATGTTTGGTTCTGCCCTGTGACTGTATGAATAGGCTAGGCCATGAAGGGCTAGGGACACGAGGCTCTTGAGAGCAAAAGGCCTAGATCTCAACTTAAGGATGTGCTTAGGAAGCACGACTGCACAGGAGAGGCTTTAAGCCCTCAGGACATGCTGCATTGATCGTCCCAGAGGCCTTTAGCTACAAAAGACACGTGGAAAGGTAAAATTGTTATGAACTCTGAAACAGCTATCACAGAGCATTAAACTGCACAGGACGCTCTGTGCATAAGGCTTTATTAGTTGTACTGATCTCATGCCTATGATTACATACATAATACTATGATATTTTATAATGTCACTTAAAAACTTTCATAAAGACTTGAGAGCACTTAGAAAATACAACTAACACAATATGTAATTAAAAATAAATTTTAAAATATATTTAAGTCAATGAATTAAGATTATATACAGTGTTTATATATGTTAATCTATCTGTTTTGAAGGATAGGATTTATTTGTGTCACAAATTGACTAAAAGCTTTCTGAATCAAAAAAAAATACAAGTTTTATCTTTTATTTTCTGAAATTAAAAAAAGAATCAGGTAGTATACTGGTCTTTTAGTCTATGGAATCTTTCGATTCATTAAAAGTAAATGATCAATCTCTGGCAACTCATGACAAGAGCCTAGGGTGATTACTGATGCCATGAACAAGAGTGTCAATTTGTTAAGTCAACAACAGGAGTCACTGTGCACTTACTCCTCATGTAGGATCTCTGTCCTTAGTGTGCTGTACATTGAGATTTAATGCTATAACTAGTACTCAAACAGTATTTTTCACTTTCTGTTTCTGTGTGGGAGCAAACTGTTGAAATCTTTACTTAATATATGCTAAACTGATCTTCTGTAGATAAAGAGAATCGAAAATGAATCTTGATGTGAATGGAAGGGGAGAGGGAGTTGGAAAGGGGAGGGTTGCGGGTGGGAGGGAAGTTATGGGGGGGGAGCCATTGTAATCCATAAGCTGTACTTTGGAAATTTATATTCATTAAATAAAAGTTAAAAAAATAAAAAGAAAAAGGTAATAAATCAATAAATAAAAATTAAAAAAAGATCGCCCCAAGGAAATCTGATATATATTTTCACTCTCTCTCTGTCTCTGTCTCCATCTCTCTCTCTCTCTTCATCTTAACTCTCTTTCCCTCTCTCTCTCTCTCTCTAAAATTCATTCTTACCAATATTTTAGAGGTCCAGGGTCAAAGACAAAGAATGCATTAAGGCAAGAAAGACTCTAATGGAACTTCCATTATAATGTATTTATTAATTTACCATTAAGAACTATGAATGCAAAGGTGTCTTTCATATTATTCTAAGCCTCTGTGTCTAAGAAACTTTAGAACTATTGCTCATGACAGACAAATTACAGAATAATATTTGAAGCACTCTACCTGATAGTTCTTAGCCTTCTTGAGAGTCTACTAAAATCAAACTCATTGACTATTTCAGACTCCCAATTAGGATTTTGTATAAAGGGTGATTTTTCTTCCTATGATTATTGATAAGGAAAAAGATTTTCTTAAATGATACATCACAGTTGGGTTGGAATCAAATACTACTATTCAAATTTGTGTTCATTGCAGTTCAAATATTATTCTTGTTTTCCAAATTTATACTCATATAAATGCATTTATTTTATTTTACTTTATGTATTTTTTACATTTACATATTGTTATATTTACATTTTATTTTATGGTATATTGCATTCCCTTATAATACATTACATTCCTAATTAAGATGATAAAATGAAAGGTTATACCTACAAATTGTAATTTTTAGGCAGTGCTTTACAGACTGAATCTTGGCAAGAAAGAACAGTCAACCCATTTGTAAGCACAGGAGCTGAGAGGGAGCCACCGAAGGAGAGGACAGAGGGTTTATTTTACAGACGCACCAAGAAAGAGCTGTGCATATCACTGCAGCATCATGAATGAAATGCCTGACAACAAAAGCTTCTGAAGGATTTGTTTGGTGACTTCCTAATGAAGTAAAGGCCAAAGAGGCAGTTTCCAATAGCAACAGGCTCTGTAAACAGCACCTGCTCTGAACGTCAATTTATTCACTACCAGTTTCTTCTAAGCAACAAAAAGCAGCTTCGGATCTTTTCAAGCAAAATCTTAGAATAGCAGCTCTTTAGGGCTTTACCCTAAAATTCAGAGACATCAGCACATGACAATAGGGTGCTGTGGTTTATTGCAAAAAAAAAATCTTCTAAAATCACTAAATTTCCTAAATAAATACCACATATACAAGTGCACATGCATGACTGCATACCTTCCACCCCCACTAGAACTCCATAAAGAGAGGTATTAGTTTCTTTTCTCAGAGCCTGATATAGTACATAACTGATTATGAAAGTCTAAATATTTGTTTGAAGTATAAATAAACGAATGAGTATGCTAAAGAATTATTAAACTGTAAGCTCAAATTCCCCCAAAACATAAAGTATGTCAAAAGTTAACATTTGTTCTGTGGGAGGTTTCTGAGTCTATTATGTAACTGCTGCTCATTTGCCATCATTTACAATAAATCTAAGTAAATAACTGCTACATTAAAAATAAAACAATTGTAGTAATTCTAGGCTATATGGAATTCAAGGCTACCTTTTCTTTTTACTACTCATATAAGCTTTACAAATGTGCATTTTAAACTAAGATAAGATAAAATAAGATCTCTGCATACATAATCTTTTAGCCAAATTCATTTTTGCTCAATATCTAATGAACACATTTTTGCATATTAGTATACATAAATATAAGTAAGATACTTTTAGTGGCATAATATTCTCTTATGTGGATATACATGTAATATAATTTATGTAACCAAATCCCTATGGACTGATGGCTAAATTACTCCATTGTTTTCCTGTTACAGACAATACAGCAAAACACAAACTTATGGAGGCTTCATACACGTTCTTTCCCAGATTTCTAGATTAAAGACCAGAACAGAATTTTACTGCGGCAAAATGATGTTTCAGAAAGATGGTCAAACCATTTGATCTCACAACACTTCTGATTTTACATTAATTTTCCAATCAAAACTGGCTTCACTTTTAGTTCCCAGGGAGGAAAGATTTCTCCCCGATAACCTTGCAATATTGACATTAGTGGCCAAACAATTCTTGGCTATGGTTGAGTAGTTATTGTATTGCAGGATGTTCAGTAATGTCCTTGGAATTTATCTTTTAACTTCAATAGCACTCCCCCTTCCCATCCTTGCACTATGGTCACACAAAAATATCTCCAGACATTTCTAAATATCGCTCATAAAACAAAATCATCCCTCGCTGGAAACCACTACACTGACAGACAGGGCTCAGGCCAAAGCCGTGTATTCTTCTCCACCCAATCCTTTGCATTCTTTTCCCATCAGCCAGCAGGCAAAAAGGAAGCCCCAGAAAGTATGAAAAGCCGGTAAAAAGTTAGCTCAGCTCCACCCCCTTCATGGCCGTTATCTGGTTTACGCTCTATAAATTCAGTCTGTAACTAAATTCTTGATTTCTTCCACATCTCATCCTGTCCTGTTTGGATGCTGGCAGTTAGCCACTGCGAATTTATTTTTCCTTGAATACAATTTGTTTTGGCTGTGAGTTCCTATCCTGTCTCCTCTCTGTTCTGCCAATATTTTCCTTACAATAGCTCTCACTGCTTGAGGTAATGAAGATTCTTGTGTAGCTTCATTTGATGCAATTTCATACTGGAATATCCCCTGCTCGTTCTTGTGTGACACTAGCCCTATCTCCTTGACCTGTCCTTTACAACAAAAAAATCTTTGAGAATTCTCAGGTTTGTGACAAAAACTCTAGTAAGGGCCATTTCTGTGTTGCTTATTTAGAACAAAAAACTTTATTCATGGTTACTACAATGTGATTCAGTATGCTATCCCTGGGACAAATGAACAAGATGTGACAGACACACTTTCTTGTGCATTGCTCATGTTAGAAGCAAAAGTCATCGTGAATGAAAATAAAACCCAAAACACTAATGAGTACATTTCATTCAGACCTGAAAATTAGTCCTTACTCCACTTAACAAGCCATGCCCTGGCATAGGTTGTGACGTCTTTCCAAAACACTGAATACTCAGCACACTGTGGTCTCTAGGTACCAAGGATGGCTCTCCCTGTTACACATGAAAGGTAAGAATGCTATATAATCAATATTCTTAAAATATTTTCTATACTTGGGCCTAGTTTTT